TTTAGGGTTTAGGGTTCAAGGCTGAAACTCAAGTGCTGTGCACCTGGTATGCGTAAAGCTGAACGACGATGCGAGGCATCTGCTGCTTCTGCTTGCCTGGCTGATGGAGTGCAGGCAAGGATCCAGAAGCCGTCATCCCTGCTAGCCCCCTCAAGCGCACACCAACTTTTGGCCGCTGTGACGTTTGCCAGATGCAGGCTGTAGGTGGGCAAGTATCTATTGACCCAATGCCCGACATTAACACAGCAACGCCTCAAGTTGCCGATGCAAAAATCGCATGGCGACAATAATTTGCACTACTTGGTCAAACACAGCACTGTAAAAAAGGATAGGCAACCAGCGCCGCCATATGCCGTAAGAAGACTTTGGTTCGCAGCAGTTCTGCTTGGCAGAAACTGAGGTGGGTGGTCGCGAACAGAGCAGCCGCAGAACGATGTCAGATGCGCGACGAGTTTTGCAGGCTCCGAGGTCACAACCCAACCGTGCACGCATTATAGGTTTTAATTCGACATGCATGCTAACGTCGGTCTCTTTGTACAGCATTTGCCGAAGAGGCTTCGACATCATAGGCTATTGCTCTTGCTATGGTTTTTTGGTGGCAAATGGATCTACAAAGGCTCCTTTCCCAGAGAGCCCAATAACCCTTAATTAAGGAATATACCTTAAATCATAAGATTAAGGCCCCTATAGTTTAAGGTATATTCCTTAATTAAGGGCTATTGGGCTCTCTGGGTTCGTCTCAGAGTCTTGTCATCCGCCTTGGAGAATCCTGAGCTCCAACTCGGCTTAGCCTTTTAAGGGGGAGCGAGGCCGAGGCAGGGGGCCTCTGGTAGATGGCCTCACGGCGCTCCCAGAGGACCTTCACCTACGGTTTAGGGTTTAGGGTTTAGGGTTTAGGGTTTAGGGTCACGGTGAAAGGGCGACTACTGCCCTGAAGTCGTCTAGAACCGCGACAGCAAAACAGGAAAGATGATCTCATCGTTCCATTCATAGATGTCTCCATCCATCTCTCTATCCTCCGTCCGCTGTTCATCCCTTCCATCCGAACATCCACCCACGCAAGCCCTCATAAACCCCTAAGAGCCCTTCGCCCGAAATGCTTTCCCCACGCACTGGCAGACACACAGACATGACCACGATCGCCTGCAAGCCAGACTGCTTCATCACCAAGAGGACAATGTATTGGAATTTACGATGAATCGCGGTTTCCGGAGGACGGCAGATCAACCATACAAAAACCTCACAAACATCATGCCATCCATCACATATCAATCCGACCAGACTTTGGGGAAAAAGACTGCCCAACTTGCCACCCTTCCGCCCAGCACTCGAGCACCTCGTCCCAGCGCTCGCGGGACAGTGCCAGCAGCGTTCCCGTGGAGGCGTCTGCACACCTTGCAGAGAAGCCCAGCTCAGCTCAGCTCCAAGGCCTTCCGCAAATACACCTAAACCCTAAACCCTAGACACTGCCAAGCGCACAAGTACTTGTAGATCACACCACTCGGGCCATGGTAGCCCATGGACTTGATGGCCTGGAGCATCCGTGGCACAGACTCGGGAGAGCTGGCAGCTAAATGGCACAGGACAGCACAGGCCGTTTGGGCTACTTGGAGGTATATGGGTTATAATTATAGTTAGCTTACTTATAACTCCACTTAGAACTACCCATGAACCTCCAAGTACCACCTCACAACTAACGAAAGGTCGCCTGGCACCACTCGTCCAAGTCGACGGAGTCGCTCCCGTCCTCGTGGTGCATCCCTCAAGGGCTCAAGACGACTGCGGGGGTCGGAGGAACCCAGAGACTCCAATATTCCTTAATTAAGTAATATTCCTTAAATTATAGTAGGGTCCTTAATATGATTTAAGGTATATTCCTTAATTAAGGGATATTGGAGTCTCTGGGAAGCGAGCCGTCCACCGTCGCTCAAGTGGCACCCGACCGCGAAGTTTCAACATGCTCAAAAACCCAATGCAGCACCAAGGGTGTCCTTGTCTAGGAACTCATAGGCAACCTGCCATACTGAAGCGGCAGCTGACGCAAGTCCCCGCCTACTGCGACATGAACTTGGGGTCGCGTGCCATGATTTGCCCGCACAGCATACCTGCCTCAACACTGCCAAAGGTGCGGTCAACGTACCTCAGTCACTTGCGGCCCTAATCAGCGCCCGCACCGCGAGTGAAGTTGGAGGCCGCGCTTACATAAGTCGTAACAACACTTCGCAATACTTCGCACATCCATCCCCGCCACGATGTCAGCCTCATTGCCGGTCATGGGTCCCCAGAGAGCCCAATACCCCTTAATTAAGGAATAGACCTTAAATCATAATATCAAGGCCCCTATAGTTTAAGGTATATTAAATCATAAGATTCAGGCCCCTATACTTTAAGGTATATTCCTTAATTAAGGGCTATTGGGCTCTCTGGGTCTCGCAGTAAGTCACCTGCTGAAGCAGCTCCAGGATAGCCAGCTGCAGCTCCTGATAGGGCGGTGCCAAGCTTTCTGTAATTCATGTAGGGCCCTTAATTAGGGTTTAGGGTTTAGGGTTTAGGGTTTAGGGATTAGAATTAGAAGAGGGTTTTGGGGGGTCCGTATTATAATTATAGTAATCTACCCCAAAACCCTAATGTAATTATTAAGGCACCTATATTACGCACCTGACCCACCACCAACACATAACACCGTCATGATACGAACTTGACAATTACCGAAACACTACCAATTGAGTGCCGACACCATTCAGATCAAAGACACGATTTGTCTCGTCCTTGCATGATACTGCTACTATTAACAACCAACTTTCTGAAAGTTGCACTTAGGGTTCTCATCCAAACTCCAAACCATGCTTTTCATACGTGAGTAACGTGGGTTATTTATAATTATTCATACACATACTCCTGTCAGTTGGGACGATGCATCGGAGTATAATGAAAATCCAGCGCCACGCAAACGCTATGATAAATAAACTAATGGGCGGTTGTCAAAATTATTGTCCGTAATATAATACGGCACCTAATATTTAGGGTACCCAAAAAGGGACCCTAATTTTGACAACCACCCTAATATCCCAGAGCCTCTCCGACTATCACTGGTCTCCTTCGTGCCGGAAACTGATCCAAGCCACTGATCCAAGCCGAAAAAAAACCGCTCAGCCCTGATCCGAAGCTTAGCTTGCAGTCTTACAGCTTCCCAGAGAGCCCAATACCCCTTAATTAAGGAATATACCTTAAATCATAATATGAAGGCCCCTATAATTCAAGGTATATTCCTTAATTAAGGGGTATTGGGCGACAGCCCCGGGCACTCAGGGTAGCGAGACCAGCCTTGAGAAGATTGTCCATGACCTGCCACTCCTCCCAGGAGATGGAACCTGCGCTAAACCCTAAACCCTAAACCCTAAACCCGATGTGAGACGACACAAACGCGTTTCCTCGTCAACCCTTCTCGATTCCGTGAGATTTCCCATGAGGAATCCATTCTACAACCCACTTCAGCCGTGGGATTCCGTAAGAGTATGGCAACTGTCAACCCCCGATTCGTCCAGTTGGAGACCCTGCAGCCAAGCCGGGACAAAAAGCCGAAAAAACCCGAGGACTGCTGCCCAGAGACTCCAATATCCCTTAATTAAGGAATATACTCTAAATCATACTAAGGATCCTACAAAAATAAAAGGAATATTCCTTCATTAAGGAATATTGGAGTCTCTGGGTCCATCGCATGCTGCTTCGCTCGCTCTGCGAAAAGGCCCCTGCCTCCGCGATCTGGATCGAGGTATCGGAAGAGCTCAACGGCCTTCTCTGAATCTTTGAACCTCCGTGCTTAAAGGATCACGGGACTTAGTAAGTAGGGTTATAACTAACGTAACTATACTTATAAGCCCATTTAGGGGACTTATAACCATACTTACTAAGTCCCATGATCCTCCAAGTGCGTTCGCTAGCGGCTGCTGCCTTGGAAGATAAAACCCTAAACCCTTAACCCTAAACCCTAAACCCTAAACCCTACACCCTAAACCCCAAACCCTAAACCCTAAACCCTACACCCTAAACCCTACACCCTAAACCCTAAACCCTACTTGGGGCCGTCGCTCTCGCCAGCCGAGTCTTCCAAAGGCATCCTTGAACTCCCTCCTGGCGGCGTTTCAAACAGATCGTGGCTTGTTTAGGGTTTAGGGTTTAGGGTTTTTCTGCTCCGAACTGCTCGAAGAGCTGCTGCAGTAGGTTGAAGAAAGGGAAACAAGAGCATGCTGCTACAAACAGGCCAGCACTTCAAGGACAGCTTCCCATTGCCATCTGGCCTCGCGCATGATCCACGGAAAACAATAGGCAACTCATGGCACAGCATTGCAAACGTATTGAATTCCCTTCCCGTGTTCATCGCCAACGGAAGCGGCTGGATGCTGACTCATCTACACTCCAGGCAACATCGTGCTAATTGCCAAGATATGCTCAGAACCGCACCCGTCAATCATCTGGAAAGCCGCGCGAAGATTGTGCTTGAAGTGACGCATGACCTTGAAAACTCAACGAGTCTTGAAGCGTGGAGTGATTGTAGGCGAGGCCGGCGCATGCACCAAGAAAGTGCTGACAGCCTCCGGCACAGCCTGACACAAGGATAACCAATTAGGAGAATAAAGCCTTGCCCGGAATTGGAGGTGGCACCCCAATGCACTGCAAGGACATGCCTGAACATCTGCCCACCAAATGACTTTGGAGCTCTGGATGTCAGTGTTCCAGCCCCTGCAGCGCGCATTGCTACGATGTGAATCGTGATCGACATACCCTAAACCCAAAACCCTAAACCCTAAACCCTAAACCCTGAAGCTGTGTCGGCTTGGAGCTACCAACGACGCAGCAACAGCTGCGAAGGAAGGCCCCCGACCCGTATCTGAGCAAATTCTCGATCCTCATGTCCAGGCTCCGATCCTCGCATGCCCGGTTACGCAGAGCAAGGGACCGCTTCTTTCCGGATCCTCTGATGCGCTAGGGTTTAGGGTTTAGGGCCTAGGGTTTAGGGTTTAGGGTTTAGGGTTTAGGGTTCAGGGTTTAGGGTTTAGGGATGGCGTTTCAGCTGGTACCCGCATCACAGCTCTCAAATCCCGGGTCTTCGTGGTACAGGTCCTCTGGAGCCGCCATGTACTGCCAGCTCAGCAGGCCGTTCGGGATCGTCCTCGAAGCCACAGGCCCTAAACCCTAAACCCTAAACTCTGAACCCTAAACCCTAAACCCTACCCCAAAAATCACTGGGGGCATCGCTGCAAATCCTTCCAGGTTGCTGGGACCTAAGCGGCCGCTGAAGCTCCGAGCGAGATCTGCTAACCCAACTATGGGTTTAGGGTTTAGGGTTTAGGTTTTAGAGTTTAGGGTTTAGGGTTTAGGGTTTCATGCCCAACTCGAACTAAGGGAGCTCCCTTAGTCGCCTTAGTCTCGGACGCCTCGATCGAAGGCAAACTCGCTCTTGTCGGCAAGCACCAGCCTGGGAATCATGGAAAAAATGACCAGCGACCTGCTTTTCTATGCGAACTCTGCCCCCCCACTTGGAGGTTCATGGGTAGTTATAAGTGGAGTTATAAGCAAGCTAACTATAATTATAACCCATATTAGGGGACTTATGTGGAGTTATAAGTAAGCTAACAAAAGATTATAACCCATACTAGGGGACTTATAACCCCTACTTATAACTAAACCCTAAACCCTAAACCCTAAACCCTAAACCCTAAACCCTAAACCCTAAACCCTAAACCCCTACTTATAACTAAACCAATGAACCTCTCAGCACCGGCGGTCTCCTGCCTGGGCTGGCGCAGGTTCCCCAAGCGGCCTGGCGACTCTTTCAAGTTCATCCGTACCTGGCACGTCGATGCCTAAACTTTAATTTAGGGTTTAGGGTTTAGGGTTTAGGGTTTAGGGTTTAGGGTTTAGGGTTAAACGAACCGATGGTAGGAGCTGTGAAGATGTGGAAAGACAGGGAAATACACGTCAGGGGTGCAGTCAGGCAGGCAGCTAGACGGTCTTCAGGAATCGTCGTGTCGAAGACCTTGGGGAGATGGGCGATGACGCTACACAAGTAGAGCTTTTGCCAACCAGCGCACGATCGCATCAGGCACTCTGGTCCCCCCAAGCCCCATGATAAGTTCCCCACGAAACGGTACTGCTCTGGCTGGATGTAGGGGAAGAGCGTCAAGGTCTCGGGTAAGAGTGTCAGGAGAATGCCAGTCCCAGTTCAAAAGACTGAATCCGCAGAGACTCCAATATCCCTTAATTAAGGAATATACCTTAAATCATATTAGGGATCCTACTATAATTTAAGGAATATTCCTTAATTAAGGGATATTAGAGTCTCTGAATCTGCTGAGAGGAGCACACCAAGGCGTAGCTTCAGCTCGTCCCACTCGTCTGGGGCCTTCGAGGGACGTGGGGGTTTCCGAAAATAAGGGGTACCTTCTTTTGGGGTTCTTATAGTAAGGATCCTACTATTTGGGGTACTATATTAGGGTCCCCTATTTTCGGAAGCCCCCACGTGGCTCACGGTTGGGCCGACTCTTGATACGGCGGTGCCTTTTCTGTATTCTCTTGGACAACATCAAACTCAGGGTGTACGACAGGCTCTCCGCCGAGTGTCTGGGGAGCACTCCGAGTTCTGAGCAAGTTCGACGAAAAACTACCTGCAGCAAACCTGCAGCTACTTCCAGCTCAGACCAGGTGTTTCTTCCATAAGCATGGTTCCTCGCCTGTGATAGATGCATGCCAGCGGAAGCAGAGGAACACTGACAAGCTGCACACCTACATGAGTGGCTTGGCACCGACGGTGGTGGAAGCTGAGACATCAGCGATGCGTGAGACAATCATCTTCCTCAGCACATTGACACTGATTTAGGAAGCGTGCTCAAGCGACTAGGCAGCAAGTGCAGGCTGCAAGAGACGCAGCAGTTTTGCAATCATTAAGTGTCTTGAATCTACGGCAGGGAGAGTATGCACAATGAGCTGCGGCCATGAAGCATGTTCTGCGGATCCGAGAGCCGCAGGAGGAGGAATGTCAGCGCCTCGCGGTCGAAATTGCAGAGGCTGTTTGGGCATGCCCGTCGAAGTTGCAGATGTTCTGGAGTAGAAAATGTCTAGCAGCCCGTCCGAACCTCCAAGCGGAAGGTGCGGTCCCCAAATACAGCCACAAGCTGGCGGCACTGCGCCGCAGACAGGTAGATGCGGTCCTTGGCCGATCTCGTCATGCCCCGAATCACCAAGGAAGATGGAAAGCCCAGCCCAGTCGGGCCCCGACAGCAAGCCCCCGCAGGGCGTGGACTTTGGCCTCTTGTTGCAGAGGCGCCTGCGGTGGAGGGGTCTCATGCTCGACTTCAGCAAGAACAAAGCAAAGTCGCCTGCGCAAGCTGCACCATCATCTCGTCCCACCTGTTGAAAAGCTCAGAAGACAGCACACAGACATATGATGACTCTTCCACAACCTATTCTCCAACTTGAACGCATAACGGATTCATCGAAGCTGCTTTGTGCCTTTCTGCCGGGAAAGTTGTCGTATCCTGTGTTGGCCGCAAGGCCGAAACCCTTCGCTGGGAAACCCAAAGGCTGGTTTTCGCAGCAGCGGTCCTTGGCCGGGCGGCGCCAGGTGACGAAGTCCAGGAAGAGAAGCTCCGAGCAGGGAAGGATCCTTTCACTCCGGAAGCTGCAGACTGCAGTTGCATCGTGCAGTCGCTTTCATTCTGCATCTCATCGGATGCCAAAGGGGTCTTGCTTCAAGCAGAACCGCGCCATTGGTTCACACCGGCTGGGGCACGTGACAGATGTTGGATCGGATGACTTCCGAAGCTACTGGCAAGCTTGCGCTTGAGTACCCGGCCACTCGGTCAAGGACCGAACGGTAATGCTCTGATGCACGCAATTGCGGACCTCACCAGGGTGAGCTACTACCCCTTCCGATCGTGTCTGGGCTTGCCCCATGCTCTGATGCTCGGCACCCAGCGCTCGACCAATTGCCGTACCTCGGCCACCACATCGCAAGAACAACCAGAAGCTGTCCGAGAGCCAATTGTTCAACTCATTCGAGCGCACTTGGAGCGGTCTTCCAAACCTTTGGCTTTGGCCACAGATGACTCCCAGGCATCCAGCCTGCAGCCACACACAGCAACGGCTTGCAAACACACAGCTCTCTTCCGAAGCGTCACAATCAGCAAGCTCTCCGTGATGCATGACAGTAGAAAACAAGAAGTCACACATGGATGGTTGTACGTGTGCCCGCGACTGCTTTGCATAGGTTGATTGAGCCTCAACGCTCTTTCTGCAAGTCTGAGCCAGAAACATCTTCAGCAACTCTGCCACGGCAAAGTCGCTTGGCTGTGCCAGGTTGAGGTTGTAGCGCCTGGCATCCCGAACATATCCCACGTTGCCAGAAACCGAGAAAAGCGTGCACAGCAGCGCAGCATTCTAAGAAATGCTGGGTCTGCCCAGTGGGGCATTCTGCGTTGAAGACCATAAGCCTGCACAGGGCAGTAGCACAAAGGCTGAGAACAACCTTGCCGCCTCGGGTTGGCCGGGCATCCAGAAATACATGTGGGGCTGGGATGACAGCTGGAAATGGGCTGTGGTTTCCTGGGGATTTGTTGGGGCCTGTCTCTGCAATGTTGTGTCTCCTCCCTAGAGGCCCGCTCTCCATTCTGACGACCTGGTCCCGGCTCTGCCGGGCCGAGACGAAGCGCTTACAAAGACTTACTCGTTCCGTCAAGTGGGTACCCACAGACTCCAATATCCCTTAATTAAGGAATATACCTTAAATCATATTAAGGATCCTACTATAATTTAAAGTATATTCCTTAATTAAGGAATATTGGAGTCTCTGGGTATTGGCTGCTCTCAGACCTTCCCGGTGGCTCTGGATTGGAACCCATATACACACAGACAGACAGGCACACACACACACACACGCAGACACCTCTCCAACTGCGGCAGGGCAACCGCATCATGACCACATGCTGCAAGTGATAGAAGCTCAAGTTGATGCAGCAGATTGACAAGCTGGCCTCTCGCAGCGCTTGTAGACCTGCAACCCCGGCCAAATCAGTCGTGGATTCTCGCAACCCAGCAGCAGCCGCATCAAGGCAATCGACCTTGATGTACTCGCGGAGCCGTGGTAGTTTCGTGAGCGCCTTGATGGCTGGAGATGACTCTGGGTGGCTGTGACTCGTCCGGGACGCTTGGAGGTGGAGGTACAGGTGCACTGTACTGTGCACTAACATTGACTTCAATGACTTCGCTGCTGCCCAGGCTCCAGGAACAAACGCAGCTGTGACCTGGAACCAGGACTCTACCGGCCTATCGTGAGACGCAAAGTCACGAAGCGAGGAATGCATAGACTAGCAAAGGCAAACATCAGACTTATTGAACTGAGCGCTTAGCAGAACAGCAACGAGAGACAAAGCACAAGTAAGCACGACAACGACCCTGAAAGAAGAAGCATCCCCACCGCGGGAGGCAGCGACGGCATCATGGCACCGTGGAAGTGAAACGTAGACGGCGACTATCAGAAATATATGTCCGACGCTTTGCCGCCCCGGTGGCCTGTGCACCCCTGGCAACAGACTCACCATCGCGTCGATGCCATTGAAGGAATCCTCCCAGAAACTTCGACACACCCACCAAAAAAACGGCACTGCTCAAGTTGCTGACCGCTACCACTTTTTCTGGCGGGCAACCTGAACCCAGAGAGCCCAGTACCCCTTAATTAAGGAATATACCTTAAATCATAATATTCGCCTCGGCCGTTGGCCGAAGCGGTCAGAGGTTCCTA